AAGCTGATCCAAAGAGGCGCGAGGCTTGTTACGAACATTGGTTGCTGAGAAAAGCCACTCGGTCGGTGCTCTCTTTGGCTGCTGCAGATGTGGTGATGTTGGTGCCGCCTGTTGCTGCTGTTGTTGTTGCTGCTGCTGCTGCTGCTGGTGTTGCAGTTGCTGTTGGGCCAGATACTTCTCGCCTTGCCGACGGCCCCAAGAGGAGCGGGGATCATGACGTTGCTGCAGGGTTGATTTGCGCAGCGAAGAGGTACGGTTGGCCATGACGGAGGAGGTGCATGAGTTGAGATCGGTAGTAGGAGTAGGAGAAGAGGTGGAAGTGGACGTAGGGCCGCCAGCAGCGGGAAACGCAGCGTTGGCGGTGGCAGCACCAGCACCAGCATCAGCACCAGCGGGTGTTATTTGCTGGTCGCAGTTATTGGAGTCGTCGTGAATTTCAAAAGAAGTACGCGCAGGCGATGTTGCGGCAGGCGAGCCAAACTCAAAGACGCTGAAATCACCACCCAGGCTAGCAATGCCGTGCAGACTGCGGCGCTTGGCCACTGGACTGCCGGGGTTGACCTGATCGAGGTTCATGATGGCGTCGCTGCGCTTGAGCGGGCTCGAAATAGTCGATGCCAGAGAGTCGAGGCGGGAGTCCCCTGACAGATCAAGGTGCATGCTGTGGCGCGAGGGCTTCTCCAGTTTGTTACGCGGTGATGAGCCGAGCGCGAGCAGCAGGCTGCTAAACTTGCTGCCAGCGCTGCTGTTTTCTTGGCCAAGAAGCGGCTCGGAAAGGGCTGTCGATGGGCCAGCGGACGGAGGTGTAGCGGACTGTGTGGCGTTGCCCATATCTGAGTTGATGCTCAGGGCACGCTTTAGCGGGCTCTTGGGCGACGACCGAAGGCGCGAAACCGACTTGGCGGAAGCCGTCTTGGGGCGCACAGAGCGCAGGGACAGCTTGACGCCGGAGCGGAGAGGAGTAGAGAAGAGGCCCGTCTGGGCCGGAAGCGCAGAATGCGGTGCGGCGGGTGTGTTTGCGACGCCGGCTAGTGGTGCTGAAGAAGTAAAGTTGTAATCGCTGCTGATGGACGATGCTGAGGAGGAGGCGGATAGGGATGCTGGCAGCGCGTGCGCCGGTGTTGTTGTCTGGGGTTGCGGGCAAGGCGACGGCAGAGCAGAGCTGCTGGAGCTGTCCGAGTGTTGCGAGTTGTGCGACTCGGCGCGCGCCAGGTGAAAACGGGATGGCGAGCGCGACAGTGAGCGGCGCAGAGTGCGCACAGACGAAGGGCCAGAGTCTCCGTGAAGGCCAGTCGGCGAAGGAAGCGCAAGCGTCCCTCCACCGCCGTTGGAGAAAGACATGGCCAGCGGCTGTAACGCGCTGTTGTCGTGTGTGTATGGCACAATCCGGTAGCAAATAATGAAGAAAACAAACAGGTATGGCGAAAAGAACGAAAAGCCCAGAGAAGAGGAGGAGATATGAAAATGGATTTGCTCCTCGGTTAGGCAGGCAGCTTGTATGTCAGCCGCAGTGTGATATTGTTGCGACAGTGAAGTTTGCGATCAGGAACGGCGGGCAGGCAACAACATTGTCCGGGACTGGTTAAGCTTTTGAGCAAGCGGAGAGGTTGCGCCGCTGTATACACCTGGGGAAATGCTGGACAGCAGCCGTTTTGATAAGGAGGAAACGATGTCCGGTGACGAGAGAAGAAGCGCAAAGGGGCGCAGCGAATTCTTCAGGACATTCCGAGGCGGGATGTTGGCGAAGCAGTTGATTCAAGTCCCGCCGGTCGAGACGAAGAAGAGAAGCGCGATCGCGGCCGCAAGATGACGACAGAGCGAGACGAAGAAGTCGTGGCAGGTGATCTTGGTTTACCAAAAGGGGCAAAAAAAAACCAAAGAATGCTGGCACCGGTGGCGGAAACTGGCGATGATGCGACTGGGGGCGATCTTGCAAGGCCTATCCGGAGAGCTGGCAAGGCAGCAGGTCGATCATTGTTGGTGCGAGTCAAGCGCAGAGGCGAGCAGGTCGGTCGATGGACGATGTCGAGCGGCGCGTGTAAGAAGAAAAACAAAGCTGGTAAGAGGAACAATGCAGAATCGTGGATGAGGCAATGAAAAGGGAGAGAGGGGGTTAGGGGGGGCAGAAATGGGGGAGAGGACAGAAAGAGTGGACGTGATATGGCCAATGTCGCAGTCGGTCGTGACTTCCTTCTCTCCGCGCACGAAAACACACAATTTTGGGAAAATACAGGCAATAACGGGCAACTAATAGGCAATCTAGGAAGGAAGGGGGGTGTATCGTTGGTCGCGAAGAGGCAGCAGGGGAGGAGCGAAGAGCGATTCGGGAAGGAAAGATGGGTTGGGATGACGGTAGAGAGAACAGGATGACCAGGGGTGGCAAGAGCCACAGAGCACTGGCGCAGTGGTCTGGGGAGTGTTAGCGCGTGTGTGGTGAGCGCGCGCAGAAGGTGCGAAGGGTGAAAGTGTGCGAAAATGTGCAAAAATGTGCAAAAATGTGCAAAAATGTGCGGTGACGACACGCGTGTTGTTTACTTTAGCTTCTGCAATAGGAAAGAAGGACGTGTTGGACGCGTCTGGGGGCAAGGGCGCCCCACTCTGCCATTGTGTGGCCGTTAATAAGTGAATTGAGGCCCACTGCGTCTCCACTTTTCCCTTCCTTCCCGACAAGGCCGCTACGGAATGGAAGGCACCAGTCCCAGCAGATGCACCCTTGCCACAACAACGTAAGGAAGGGGCAAGCGAGGGAAAACGCGGCCAACAACCTGACCGCGTCTTGCAGATTTTCTTTGTCCTTCCGCTGTGGCCGGTGGCTTTCTGATCTGTCGAGCTGTCGAGCTGTCGAGCTGTCGTTTTGTCTCGATTGTCATCTCTCCTGCGCTTCTGCATGGGCCTTGCATACGGGGAATTGCGATACGATGCGGCGTGCAACGTCCAGAAATAGATGTGGCCTGTTTGGAAAAGAAAAGACAGGTTTCTTTTGTATTTCTTTTCTTTTGTTTTTCCTTTGGATGTCGATATCTTGCCGTTGTCCACTTTTTTGCAAGCCGGCTGTTTCTTGAGTGTTTCAACGCACTACTCCCCCATTCCAGTCGCCGTTGAGCCAGCCGTTGGGGCTAGGCTGGCAGGAAACGAGCGAGAAGAGACGACGGGACCTGGGGACGTCCAAGGACCTCCAGATGCTCGGATCGACACTGGCCTTGCCGGCGAGCGATCGCCGCCCAACCAAGGAACAGGCCTTTCAGAGGGCCCCGGGCGGAAGCAAGTGTGTTGGCCTGGTTGGGTCCTGTGGGCTTGCTCTGACGCTCTTCACCGTTTGGTCCTTTTCTTTCTCGCCTGACACCAGCATCCTCCACCATCCACGACGCGATGCCGCGACCAAGTGGAGCCCACAGGGTCCTGTCGCCTCCGCCAGATACCCGGACGCTGTAGGCTGTTTCTTGCGTCGTGATGACACGACACGTCTGCTGTTGCTCGCCTCGTCGCCCACTATCGCCTCCTGAACGATCTGCTTCCGGGTTGGCACCCAACGCTTTGCGTCAGAATGTCGCCTCCTCCTTGTCTGTTTTCATTGTTTATTTTCTATGATCCATCACCATTCCCGCCCCTCTGCCCGTCTGCCCCCCTCACAAAGACTGCAGAGTGGCCAGTGCCTGCTGGAAACCGTTGGGGGTGCAACCCTTCCCAAACACAGCTGTGACTAGGAACGTCGTTTGTTATTCATCACACACAATGGGGGCACAACGTGGCTGCGTGGGCATCCATTGCATACGGATGCATTCCAGCCGTGCCTCCCGTTCGTCTGGACCCCAGGCTTGAGGGGCATTACTGCTTCCGGTATGTCTGCGTGCGGCGTGCTGCGTGCTTTGTGCTTCACAGTCTATCTCGAAGCTCCGTACGACATGTATACAACGTATATCAGCTGCGTGTTATTTATCGTAGTCAGTGTCGAGACAAATGATCCTCTACGGGGTACGGAACATGCCAATTCATCCGTCTCTGCCAGCGTCACCGCCTACATCCTATTGCAATTTTATTTTCCCTCCTTGGACATATCAAAACAAACAATCCGCGTTTGCCGATTCTATTCCCTTTCTTCGCTTGCTCTTTCTCTCGCTTCTCTCTTTCTTTCGACCATCGTCTTTTGGTCCCTCACCCCTATTTCCTTTGCATAAAACATGATATGCGCAATGGCCCGTTTTTTAAAATTGTGCCTCGTGCACTTGCTCTGCGCTGTGCGTGTTTAAAATTAGCATCTCAATGGGTACAAAAGCACGCCGCTCGTTTCGTATGTGTTCCTCCTTATGGCCCCGTCGTTGTTTGTTCCTTTTGACCGCTTTCGTCGTCCACATGAATAGTCCAATTTCATCTTACGTATTATTGTAGTTCCTATTTTTCTACTCGTGGGGAAACGGCACCAAGAGAAATAATGGGATGGAAACGAAAGCAAGAGGATAGACATGAGGATAAACATGCGAATTACGTGGCGAACAGAGAAAAACGAGGTAGGGAGCAGCCAAGGCAGGCGAAGAGGGACCAGGGCTCAGGCCAGGGTGGACAAGACAGGCCACCGGCAATGGGATCCCGGCTACCCCTAGGCCCAGTTCCCAAGGAACACGAGAAGTCCCCTTCGACGAAAGCTTCCATGCATGAACCACGGGAAATGACTGCAACCCCGACGAGGGACTCTGCCTGGGATGTTTTTCCTTGGTCAAAACAAAGCCGTCATCATGACGGGGGCTCCCAGGAACAAACAAAACAAAAGGAAATAAACACGAGTGAGAGAGGTGAAAAGAAAAGAAACAGAAAGAAAAAGAAAAAGAAAAGCAAACATGTGCTCTCGTATGTCTATTGGTTTTACAAGCTCCTATGTACAGTAAAGTACAATGCCCATGTGCGGACATTGTGTAAGTGTATGGTCGTACGTACATTGGCTTCGTTGTTTCGTTTCTCTCCCTCGGCACGTGCCCGTCTTCCCAGCCCCATACATCGCAAGTCCGTCACGAACACCGGCTCCGGATCCACTCACACCACACCCCCAGGTCCTCGCACACCTCGAGGATCCGTCCCAGGTCCTGCGGGTAGAGACGCCGGTTCTTGCCCTTGCCCTTGCCCTTGCCCGTGTCGGCTCCGTCGGCGACGTTGCTGCTATTGATGCTGCCGTCCTCGTCGTCCAAGAGGTTCTGCGAGACCACGTGTACCTGCGCATTGGGACCAATCTCGAGGACGACGTCCGCCGTGGCCGCGCGGAAGGGAAACACAACCTGCAGGCGCGGCACCGGATGCGCTGTGAGCACGACGTCCATGTTCAGAGCACGAGAGGGCCGTGGCGCGGATCGGGTGGCACCGCCGCCGGCAGCATAGCGCTCAAACTCGTCGTCGGCCGTGGCAAGTGTCGACGTCTTTGCCCGGCCGCTGATGGGGACCTTGAATGTCTTGGACGGTGCGGTTGCGGCAGGTGCTTGCGGGGCGTTGGCGTTTTTGGCTGCGGCCTCCGGATCGGCGCCGAATGCATTCTGCAGCACCGTCGCAAGAAAGGCATACTGTCGCAGCGTCGGGAGCATCCGCACCACCTGGCTTGGGTGGGAGAACGGCAGCTCCGACAACAGACGCCCGTAGACGGGCTTGTAGATGAAGAGCGCGTGGTGGTGCTTCGTGGCGGCGATCGTGCCGCCCGCATCGGATCGAGACGCGACCTCCTTGTCGCGCCGGATCGTCCGCGGCTCGCTCGGGTCGTGCTGCGTGCCCGGCGGCACGGGGAAGAGCAGCGCGTCAAACGTAGCCGGCGGCTGGGCGTCGGTCTCGGGCACAAGGCCGACAAGCTCGTTGATCTGGTGCCACAGCGCCAGCGGCAAGACAACAGGCGGATGGAACACGGCATGGAAGCGCACATCGGGAAGTTTGGCGCCGGCCAGGGTCGTGGGTGCCTCCTCGTCGCCTTCGGCTTTGCTCGCGCCGTCGGGCTGCTGTGTCGATGGCAAGATGGTGTTCTCCGGCTCGAGCCAGTCCAAATCTGGCTGGGCCGGGTTGCTGTTGCCGCCCAGCAACATATTGTCCGGCTTCTCGATGGCGTCCGACAGCCACTTGTCGGAGACGCGCACGGGCGGGTACATGAGCGCACTGCTTGTCGGGGCGCAGCCGATCAAGATGCGCCAGGTTGTGTCGCCCGGTCCAGCCCCCGTGCCAGCGACCACGCCCACATCGTCAGCAGCAGCAGCTGCTGCTGCTGCCCGCACCGGCCGCACATGACGCATCTGCTTCCAGTAGTCAATGCCCAGGCCCAAATGGCCGCCCTCGTGCATGGTCGGCCGGCCGTGGCGCGCACACTGCACGGTCGTGACCAGCGCGTCTTCGTCGCGGCCCGTGCTCTGGGTGTGGGTTGGGAGGGTCGGGTCGTTGCGCAGCTGCTGCAGGTCCCACTGGAAGAGCCGGTCCAGCGTCTCATAGATGCCGGCCACCGCCTCGTACAGGTTCAGCCCCGGCTCGACGCTCAGCTTGTCCAGCACAGCCAGCGTCTCCAGGTTCGCGGCAAAGCGGTCCAGCGTCTTTGTGAGCGGGCTCTCGCCGGGCTGCAGCTGCAGGTTGTGCAGCAAGATCTTGTCGGCGCGCTCGACGTGCCGCAGCACGATGCTGCGCGACTCGGGGAAGGTCACGGACACCGACTGGACAATGTTGTTGGCCACGGCAATCTCGAGGGCCAGCGCCGAACCGGCCACAACCAGCGTGCGGGCGTCGTTGCCGCCGCCGCCGCCGCCCCCCATGGCCTCCTCCCACAGGCACTCGAGCCCCATGGACTTGGCCAGACGCTCGAGACCGGCCTCGCTGACGTGGCCCTTGCTCGCCTGGAGCAGCTGCAGAACCGTCTGCAGCCGCCGCGCGCGCTCGTCGTCGTCGTTGCGGCCGAGCACGCTGCCCAGGTGGGCCAGTCCGCCGACGACGCTGACATTGTCCAGCCCGCCGAGGTCCACGCCTAGGGTGCCCATGGCGGCGGCGGCCGGGCTGTCGTAGTTCACGGCAGCGTTGCTGCCAGGGCCAGCGCTGCCGCCTGGGATGCCGCTACTACTGGCACTGAGGCCCATGAGCGTGGCCGAGTTTGCGGGCGACTTCTTCACGTTCTGTGGTGATGACCGGGGCCCGAGAGGCGAGAACGCCGTGTGCTGGTGTTGTGAGCTGAAGGGGGTCGAGACGGGAGGCGTGGCTGCCGCAGGGGTCCGGCCCTGTTGCGAGGGCGCCAGCTTCATGGCCGTCGGGGTTGCCATTTTGGTGTGCAGGGGGCGGAGAGGATATTTCGAGAAGAATTATCTAATAGAGGCGGTCGACCACGACAGCGTCGTACAGCTGTCACAGGCGGGAGTGGGAGACGTCGAATTCGAGATGGAAAGAGAGTCGAATCGAGGGAATTTCGCGAGAGGGGGTATCGTGTTGGAGCGCAGTATCCAGAAAAGCCCAGCAAGACGCCTCAATGCAGAGAGAAAAGCAGCAGGTGCCGACGTTTGTCGCGTCGCAGGCCGACTGGCTCTTAAGCGTCGGGCACCGCGCACGTCGGCACACTGGTCATAGCCAACTGTGGGTTGCTGATGGCCGTGATCGAGGCCTTCGCAGTTGCGGCGCAAGCGCAGCGGCGTCACAAAGACCAGCCAGGAGCAGTCAATTAGTATATCGAACAATGTCGTGTGTATCGTACCGCGATGCGAAAGATGTGGAAAGGTGCGAGGGATGCACTCGGGTCGACACGCGCGCTGGAAGGTTGTCGACAGCTTTCTTGTTTGTCGAGTTGTGAAGTGTTGCAAATCAACTGAGGAAAGCTAAGGCTGTGGTAGGACAGGGATCCATAGCGACAATGGGAGGCGCGGGTAGCCCCACTTGCGGTCGGTCGCACCTGTCGCACAGCAAAAGACGACCTTAAAGTCTTGTGACACCGAATTACAACGCAGCCTGGGAATAAAGGTATTTCTTTGTTTAAATGGTGTTTTCTTCTCTTATTTCTGTATTGTAATTTTCTTCGATTTTTGGGGCAGGAGCGGGCATTGTGAATTCGTGGTGTGTGCATGAGTTTTATCAAATTTGTCGGCGAGAATAATAAATTCAAATTGCGTGAAAGAAAATAAACATTTTTAAAATAAAGTTCACAAAAATAAATTAAAATAAATACACAGCTCCAACAAAACGAGCGCTGCAGACCTAAAGCACAGTAACAACTGCTCTGTATATACTCGCAGGCATTGACAAGTCCAGGGTATCCTGTATACTTCCCCGATAGTAGCTAGGAACGAATGCTGGTCGACTGTCAAGAGATCTCATACTCGCAATCTGCAAGTCCGTTACGAAAGACAAGGATTGAAGCTGGGACAATAGAGGGACATAAGCTCAAGCTTCGCTGCGGAGCTGGAGCCGGATAGAGGCGAGGTGCTGGCTCGAAGAGCAACCGAAAAAGTAAACGAAGACTCGTGATGGCCTCTCCAAAACTGGCAAAAAAATAGGACTTCACTTGTGCTCCGATACGGGGAATCGAACCCCGAGCTCGACGGTGAGAGCGTCGGATGTTGACCATTACACCATATCGGATGGATGGTTCGCTTGAGATCCGCCCCGTTAGCTGCGTAGATAAAGTTGGCGTACGCACTAGCGCTGCAAGCAAAAGAAAGCTCATCCACGAACACACGACGACCAAACGGTCTCCAGGCGCCCGTCGTCAATACGGAGATCACAGGAGGTGTTCGTTTGTGAAATGGCATTCGGGACAACTCAAAACTACCATGTCATACAACACGTCCGGATTTACGTTTCCTGTGATTGCTACTGTGATATGTACGGTGACCGAAGCTCATCTCGTCTAGGTATCGTCTCAGCCCCCAACAGCCTGACCCCCACGACCGCCCAAGGTAAATTACGGAGAGGCATGGTGCTGCCAAGAAAGGCAACTCTCCGCTCTCCGGTCACATCCTCCAAACGAGCAAGGGGCCGGCGGTTATCAGTCTTCTGTCTGTTGGCTAGATGTACGTCGTATTCAACTTATTTTATGGGTATGTAACATCGCACTTGCGAACAGTGTTGGTCAACAGTGTCCGGCACAAACGCGACGTTGTGGAATACGTGGCCATGGTGAGCAGGGTGAAGGCGAGCGAAACGGTGACAAAACAAGCAAGCTGCGTTCAACAGGACAGCGCCCAATTCCGGCGCTCTGTACTGGAGCATGTTGTATTTGCTTGGAGAAAAAAGCCTATGACAACACGCCTACTGAAACGTAATCTGCGTGCCCATCAGGCTGCGGTATGCCTGATCCAGTGCGCGCCGCTTGCGGTCGCGCTCCTCCAAGGCCTGCGGCGTCGCGTCGGCGTCGTCCTCGACAACGGCTTCGCTGTCCATGGCCGCGGATGCCGAGGGCGCCCACGCCCGGATCTGGCCATCCAAGTGGCCACTGTAGAGTCCGCCCACGGTGTCCCGGCCGCCCATGGCCGTGCCGCCCGTTTCGCTGCCAAGACCGCCAGCGCCACGCCAGACCAGCGATGTCACGCGGTTACGCCGTGCAGACGAGCGGTCGACCGTTGTCGGCGCCACCGACGGTCGGGGGCGGGCGGACGAGGACGGTGGAAAGGATTGAGAGGGCGGCGGCGGCGGCGGCGGCGCCTGGGGCAGACGCACAGCGGCCTGCGTGGCGCCCGTGCCGCGCAGACGCGTGACAATGCTGCCGTCGTGCAGGCGGAACACCAGGACCTCGGACTCGTTGGGCCACACGAGCAGTTCCTGGCGCGGCGCGGTGAGGCCGGTCGGGGTGACGACCATGGGCACGCTGCTGAGACCGCTGTTGCGCACGGACGGCCCGAAGCTCACGAGCGTGTTGGCGCCCGTGGCCATGTCCCACACGCGGATACGGCGGTCGTGCCCGGCCGACACGAGAAAGGCGCCGTCGTCGGTCCAGGCGAGGCCGTTGACGGGGCCGGCATGGGCCTTGGCCGACGCGCGGGCCGGGCGGGCAGCAGCCGCCGAAGTCGATCCAGACGAACCGGACGACGAACCGGCCGGGCCAAGCGAGTCTTCCTGGTCCAGCAGCGCCAGCAGCCCGCTCGCCCGCTGCACGTCCCAGATGCGCACCGTGCCGTCCACGGCGCCGCTGGCCAGAACGTGCTCGTGGCGTGGCGACCAGGCGACCGACAAGACGGCGCCGGCGACCTGGCCGGCGGCCACGAGGGACTGCACGGCCGCGCCGGACCGCAAGTCGACCAGGCGCACGGCCGGATGCTGCGTGGCGCAGGCGACAAGCAGGTGGTCGGCGACGGGCGAGACGGCGTGGCTGTAGACCTTGGAGCCAAGGCCGAAGGAGCCCGAGAGGCGCGCACTGTCGGTGGCCCACAGCTTGAGCGTCTGGTCAAAGGACGACGACAGGAACGCGGCGTTGTCAAACGGATAAAAGGAGAGGTGCGTCACGCCAAAGCGGTGGCCCTGGCTCGTGGGGGCGGGCGTGTGGCTGCTCTGGAGATGGGTCGCCTGCTGCTGCTGTTGTTGGGCACGGAAAGGGCCGCGCGTGTTGGGGCTGCCGACGGCGCCTGCGCGCGCAATTTCGGCCACGGGGCGGAACGTGTGGCTCGACGGGTCGGCCATGTCTGCCTGCTCCAGATCCCAGATACGAATCGTAGCGTCGGAGCCACCAGAGACCATGCTGCGGATGTCAGACGCCAGTTAAAATAGGGGCGGGGGCGGGGGGGAGGGGGGGAAGAGATGTCAACTCACATACGCCCATCAAACCGCTCGAGGGCTAGAGCGTTGACGCCCGCCTGGTGCGCCCACATATCACGGCCGCCACGGCCGCCACGGCCATCACGATATGGGCCTCCCGTCTCGTCCACATCAATGTTGGTGCCCAGCTCGCCGCCGTCGAACCGCAGTGGCGGCGCCGGCCGGAACGTGTGAAGAAGGTCGGCGCAGACACGACGTGCAAAGGCGTTCTGGCCAAGGCGGCCCGCCGCCCGCTCATTCACGAGTTCATTCATGCATCTGAGGGTGTCAGAGTGGGGGAAGTGGGGTGGGTGATGACGACGCAGCGTGCTGTGTAGATTTGATTGTGCTCTGTGAATGTGTGGTCGTCGTTGTTGCGATGGCGAGGCTGCGTTCAGTGCTTCAGTGGAGTCGTGCACACGTGAGCGCAGGCAGTGGATGCAATGGCCCACTTTTATTTTACCAGCAAAACTGGAAGGTGCGAACTGCACTACCTTCACCAACACTCTCAAGCTCAAGCACCAAAGTATTTTCACGACTTTCTCTCTTCTTCTCTTCTTCACCACAGCCAATTCTCGCGACACGCGATGCCTCCGTTCTACCGCCCGCCACGATCCTTTGCCGACGCACTGTGCCCGAGATAGGAGGAGGCGAGCGGGCGAAACGGCCGTTCAGCGTTTTACACTGCGAAACTCGATTCACGATAGCCATGGCCAGCATTGACACGGAAATGCGAGACGCCTCAGAGGCGGCATCCAACCGCAACCGCAGCCGCAGCCGCCGTGTTCACAGCGACGCGCTGTCCGAGAGCGGCGCCGAGGGTGGTCGTTCCGGCCGGACGCGCACTGGCCGTCGGTACAGCCACCGACGCAAAGGCGTCTTTGACGCTGTAGCAGGTATGCGCTGTTGAAAAAAAGACGAAACAAACAACAAAACAACAAAACAACAAACGGTGCCACTCGAATGGAATATTGTGTTCCTGCTAACACCCGCAGGGCGCACGCGCGTGCGCGAACCCCGACCGCCCAAGTGGCCCGGCCAGCCCACGCGGTTCCGGCACGCCCAGCTCGCGCCCGAAGAGGCGCTGTTCCGCAGCGCAGGGGCGCCGCCGCGCTACGAAGAGACGGACACGTACTTTGCGCACGCGGGCCTGCCGGCGCACGCGCTGCCGCCGAGCGAGCTGGTGAAAGCGGTGCACCACTACGCGAGCCACTACTACGAGGTTCTTGCGCCGGAGGGGCGGGGACGAACCGACACCGTACAGCGGCGAGACCCGAACGAGGAGGCCGCCGCTGGGAGTGTGGGCGGCGCACCCGTGAACCGCCGGTTGATTGATGAACGCAGCATGGACGAGACGGCGCTGCTGGCGTTTGGGATCCTGTTGGAGGAAGCGGGGCGGGCGGTGCTGGGCCGAGATGGCGCGATGGTGCTGACGGAGGCGGCCGCCGACGGGGAGGCGGATGGCGAGTACGAGGTGCGTAGGGAGGAAGAGCCGGTAAAGAAAAGGACACGAAGGAAGAGAGGTACGAAGAGAAGGCAAGCTGAGGCAAGCTGAGGCAAGCTGAGGCAAGCTGAGGTTGGAGAGCGAGTCAACAAAACGGTGAGAACCTTGAAACTGCGAGCCACTGTGTGTCAGAAGACGCGGCGTGTAGCTGTGTCGTAACCTGCATCGTAGAGGCTGCTGCAGGTCTCAGTCGAGAAATATTGAGTTGGCTCGGATACGGCGATCTCATTGAGAGGCAAGGTCAGGCAGGATTCGGTGAGCGCGGAGAGACAAGGGAGGGGTGTAACGGAGACGCAGCATCCACGACAGTGCTGTATGATGTAACTTGCATCGTACGGCAGTGCTCTGTACGGAGTCGTCCGTACATGTGCCCTGTATTACTTGTAATAGCTGTTCCTACTAGTTATATCAGACGACCAACGAAGACGGCTGACGTTGACGGTGGACCATGGAATACAAATTCGAAAAAACAGGGACCATGGAGCGTGCCACAAAGGTAAGACGACGGAGTCTCTACAACGGACAATTCAGAGCACAGTGCGTAGTAAGAGAGGCAGGCAGTGGCGCCTCTGCGCCGTCTGGCGATCTGCTGGTCTGCTGGTCTGCTGGTCTTCTGGTCTTCTGTTCTGGTCGTGTGCGCGTCGCTGATCGCCTTGGTCTCTGGAAATCATCAAACCATGGCCCACCTGTCTGTACGTCGAGGCATCGAGGCATTCATCCTCGGCGTCCTATTTGTTCTCGACGACGCCTGCTCCTCGCTTACCACTTGCCGTTTCCCAACCGTCTCGTCTCGCTCGGGCGTTGCCATTTCCACCGACAACCCTGCTGGACGCTTGGATCCATCGTACCCTTGCTGTCTGGACCTGGGAGCTGGTGTCACTGTATTCCGCATGTCGTAATTGCATCGTCCTTTTCAGAATCAAGAGGCCCAACCGTCTGTGAACGGACATGTTCCGTGGTCCTTTTGTCTCTCTTCGTCCTCATTTCGCGCAGCGCGAACGAGTTGCTGAGCATCGGACGGGTCACCCGACCCTCTCTCCACCCCTGGCCACCTGGCAAGGTGTCAGACAATACTGCCTTCCATAGCGTTCCCTTTCCAAGTCTGAAAGCAGAAACGAAAAACGTCCGTGTGTTTCTTGGCTGTCCCAGCGCCCAAGCACTCGGCAATATACGAAACCGCCTCGACTGCATGGCCACCTCCCAGCAACTTCCATGCTTCCATTCTGAACGTAATACGACACCTGCTTGTTGCTGGCACTGCCAGGGATTGTGAACAATCCTGGTCCAGACGCCGTTTCTGGGACGCCATTGATTCGTCCAGCGACCCGTTGTGGAAAGAACTTTGTAGGAAGGCAGTCAAGCTCGGGCACAGAGACGCCGTACGAGGCGTGGTACCGAAACTCATCTGCGTTGCCTTCCTAGATAGACCAAAAAAGAGACCAAAAAAGAGACCGAAAAACACGCGCACCAGAACCAGAGGATTGCCGCGTCTGGTCCAACCGCCACCGTCCTCTCCTGTCACCCTGTCATCTAATCATTGTTGTTTCGTTGTTACACGGACGTTATCAAAGCATGGCAGAAAGAGGGGAGGAGAAAGCAGGGTTCAGCGGAGAAGGCATGTTTGTGGCTTTCAGCTCCGTCGTCTTTTCGCTCTGTTCATTTGTTTTGCTTTCTTTTTCTTTTGTGTCCTTTTCCTTTCTTTCCTTCTCCTTTATGTCGTACACAGGTGAAAGGCGCCACAACAGGGACATTAATGTGAGGCGGCTCGTCCGCCACTCCCCGCAATGTTGCTGGTGTTCTACGACAATCCAATTTCAGAGTACGGGGTAGATGGAGTTATGGCTGCTTGACGTATCGTTACACAATGAGCGGAAATGTACCGCTTGTCAAATGCACATGGCATTGATTTTCTCAGACATGGACATGTGCATCGTCCTAGGTGGCAACTTCCAATACTCGCACGAGGAGACGGGGCGTGAGGATATCGGATTGATACGACATGGTTGACATGTGAGGCTTTGCTCCGTAAGGATGGCGATGGGGTTGGGTCTCCGTTTTCGAGATCGACTGGAGGGTTGAGCGATGAGATGCTTTGAAAGACTAGTTTTCAGCTTCCGTTGACTCGTTTTGCTGCTTTTCCCCTGAACATTCTCCCTTTCCCCGTCGTCTTTTTTTGTTTGTATTTGTTTGAATTTGAATGTCCCGTTTCCGCCCGCACGTTCGGCCAACTTTCCTAAATAGGTCGATGTTGTAAGTCGACAGACATTATTGGCTGTGCGTGAAGGCATTGGACATGTATTGCCACTCCATGGCAAGTTTTTGGTGGACAGGGATATCAAGGGGCTGACCGAGGTCAGGGAATAGCTAGACACAATAGACATAGTGGAAGAACAAAAGGACGAAAGGGTGAAAGGAGCAATGGAGCTGGAGGCGTCGAGACTAAACGAGGTGAACACCGGCGGACAGGGAGACGCAGCGTTTGATACGTCAAGTGCCAGAATCGTTTCATACAATGTACGTCAACGGCCCCATCAAGCATGCGGATCCGTCAATCGATGTTGTACCGGAGCGCGGCGTATAGAATACGATGTATGTACGATGCATGTATTTCGTACAGAACAGTCGCAATGGGAGACAGCCGAGGCTGCATTTGCCGGTTTGCCACAATTGCCACTGCATGGCATGCAGCGTGGCCATCTCATCTCATCGAATCGCATCATGTATCGTTCATCGACATGGGACGGGACAAACGATTGGCAACCACTGATTCGTGCTGCTTGTTTTGTTTCGTCGTTTCGCCGTTTCGCCGTATCGCTCGTCCCTCGCCTCTTTCTTTTGCCAAGATCGATCCCTGTTCCTGCAGCTACGTTAGCTTTCGCAGAGGGAGGGATTTTGGGGCTGTCGGGCCCAAGGGAGCGGGCGGCAACGTCGATTGCAGCTGTGACTGGGTCCGGGCAGGCGGGAAGATTGCGTTGAAATAAGAAATGAAGAAAGAGGAAAAGAGGAATAGTAAGAACGACAGCGTCCTCCTAAGCGAGGACACCAGCTGAAACTTGCAGGCGAGCCATCGTCGGAGTGACTTTTTCCATTTGCACGACAGGGTCTGCATCTGCGTTGCTGTGTGAATAGACTCAGGAGGTGAATGGTGGTACGTAGAGTGCTCTTCTCTGGCTCCTCTCTGGTATTTTCAACTTCTACTCTGTACTCTGCGTGCACAAACGATCGTCTGGAATACCTTTGACCCCTGATTTGGCTATAAACACTTAATGGGCTGGCCCGCACCGGCGCCGGCTTGCGACGATGCAAGTTTTCAAGCCTATTCTCGCAAGTTGACTATTCTGACGGGGGGCTGTGGAGTTGAAAGCAGAGGAATTGCCTCCAAGGGGGAGTTGGTCCCTCGGACAAGATGCTGATTCGCCATGCGGTTGCCCGCTAACTGCAACTGCAGAACAAGGCCGAGGGCCCTCTTTGCAAGTCCCATTTTCTTCTTTTTCTACCTTTTTTCCTGTCGCCCCTCTCGCTTCCAGAATACCGGTACTCTTGACGCAGATGCACCGGACGCACAGAAGCCAAAGCGTCGTGTTGTTTTCAGCTGTCGTTGCAACGAGCCTCCTCCGCACGACATATGCTGGAGGAGCACGATCAGCCAATGATGCGATGCCGTCCCAGAGGCAGCCAGCAAATAGGACGGTATCAAATAATTGTCATGTTCTCACCTGCTTCCATCTCGTTTCCCAAACTCGCCAATCTGCCTTTCACAAGCCCCGATAT